GAAGAAGAAGAAGAAGAAGAAGAAGAAGAAGAAGAAGAAGAAGAGAGAGAGAGAGAGAGAGAGAGAGAGAGAAAGAATTGGTGAAAAAGAAGAAAATAAAGGAAGAAATTTCGATCGACCGAGTACACGCGATTCTCATTCTCACCGGTTATGGAGTTCAACGTGGAGCTCCTCTGTTTTGGCTCGTCGAATTCTAGGTTCAATGGCGTCACATCTTGGCCGGCTTTGTCGGTGCTGAACTCTAGAATTCCGTGGCCGCTTCCTTTGTCGCTGAGAAAGGGGAAAAAAAAAAAAATAAGAAAAAAGAATAATAATACGTCAGGATAGATTCAATTTTATCTTTTTGGATTTTTCGATCAAAGAACTTACTAATCTTCCTGATCACCCTGTAAGGAGTCTTGTCGACCAGTGGGGATAAGATTGGTGCCAGGACCACCGGGTCCTCGACGGTATCTTGGTGGACGGAAAGCGAATCTCCTAGCGTCGGCATCGACGTCCGTTGGAGTACTGACAGGAAACCTTGCTGATATTGGATCGACACCAGCCTGTTCCTCCTGCGGATCGTTTTTTTCAAAATTTCATTAAAAAAAAAAAATCCACGAGAAATAAGCCTTCCTTAAACAACAATCGATCTTTATTCAATTTTCAATAATGGATGATATAGAATAGAACTTCTTTTCGAAAATCCATTCTTTTGTTTTAAGACGATATCTCAAACGATTCCAAAGATACGGTATTCTAAAGTGACGAATTTCCAGGAAACGAAGTGACCTACTTTGTTTCCTCATATTAAATTAATATGAGGAAGGATAGAGGAAAACAATGACTCATCCACTGTCACCGATCACTATACGTAAGGCTAGACGTAACGAAATATTAAAAATTAATCTTTCCACGATATCTCGGAAATGATATCGAGACAAAACAGAAAGCATTTTAAACAGAACTTTCTTGTTTTTAATCGTGGAAGATTTTTGGAAGATTTTATGTAAAAATCTTTGGGATTACCAAGATTTCAAAGTTTTGGTAAAATTTTAATAAGTATTTGCTATACTTTCTCTTTTAAATATTAATCTATACTTTCGAGATAAAATTACTTATTTAACTTACATCTCAAAGTATATATATATATATATCTCAAGAATAAAATACCTCGGCTCGAATTAAATATAATCGAGGTTTTCTTTTCGCATTATTAAAAATAATATTCGATTAACGAGTTGTTCGTTTGAAAAAAAGTAGAACATAATTCGACGAGCAAATACGTACGTCTCTCAGATTAAAAGTGATCTCGAGATTCTGGCTGAAGTGATTCGAGAATTCTGGATAAAGGGCCAGAACGTCGAGTAGATCGTCCCTGTGTATCTTGTGCAGATCGCAATAGGTCAACGCTCGCACGTTGCAAGACGCTTTGCCAACGGTCGGATATATGCAAGGATTCTCCCCGAATATGTCGTCCTTCGCCAGTATGGCCATCACCACGTCGCCCTTCAATATCTCTATGCTGCCTCGCGATATGAAGTAAAGGGACGTTAACACGTCCCCTCGATGAACCAACGTGTCACCGGGTGGCGCGTGTGTTGTTTTAAATTTTAACGATAACGCCTGAACGAATCGAGTTGTCGTTGTTGTTAGTACATTTTTCCCTTTTTTTTTTTTTTTATTATTATTATTATTCCAACACGGAGAAATACCTTAAACAACCGGGACTGGCGCCCTCGAAGGCTCTACAGTTGTTTAAAAGATTTCTGTTCAGATGAAGACAGATGTCCGCCTGAAGGCACTCGGGGAATCCTTTCAGAACGCTGTTCATGTCGATCCCGTTCGTGTACGTCCAAGCGTGCTGAAAGTACTCTTCCAACCTCTGACGAAGCGGATTCGGGATCTGATGGAATCTGATGAACTCTCGAACTCGAAGCATCTGCGTGTGGTATCTTGCTGTGCCGCTGTAAAGCCTCTGAATGATCGCCGAGACGTTACCGAAGATACTGGCATACATCAAAGCTGGAAAGAGAGAGAGAGAGAGAGAAGAAAAAAAAAGAAGTGACGAGTTAATGGATATCTAAGGAGAAGTCACGCGTTTTCTTTTCTTTTTTCATTGACGCTACGTTACGTCATTGGAGTCAGACTGTACATAAGAAAAAAAAGAAAAAAAAAAGAAAAAAAACGAAGAAGCAAAGAAAATTTTTAGCAAAGTCTTAAAATAATTAGTTTAAAAAGCGACGACATCTCGTCTCGATCGATACTTACATCCAATTAGCATAACGATTATAGTAAATATCTTCTCGGTGTCCGTGTTTGGAGCCACGTTTCCAAAACCCACCGATGTTAAACTACTAAAGGTAAAATACAGTGCTGTGATGTAGCGGCTCTGGAAACGAAGAAAATGATTTGATCGAATAATATACAGAGAAATAATTTTTCGACAATTTTCATTCACGCATACCTTTATACTCGGCCCACCGGTGTTGTTGTGAAAATAAAACTGATGCGTGTCGTTGGCAAGAATATCGAGCCAACCGACTTTGCTCTTCAACGTTGGTCTCTCCGCGTTTCCTATGGCGTACCTTCAATAACAAAATTCCACTCGTTTCGATCAATAATAACATTCCGAGAGCCATAAAAAAAAAAAAGATCCCTTCCTCTCCATCCAAGGAACGAACGAACGAACGTGTTTCTTTTTTTTTCTCGCGACTTAAATTTAAATATCGGAAGGTTTTTTCTTCCTTTTCTTTTTTTTTTTCTCTTTTTGCGCAACTCACCATATACACGCCATCCAATGGGCACTAAGAGCAAAGGTGCCCATCAAAAGTAGTAAAACAGCAGCTCCATACTCGCTGTACCTGTCGATCTTCCTGGCTACTCTGACGAGTCGCAAAAGACGAGCCGTCTTCAATAGTCCTATCAAGGTGGTCGTCTGTAAAGAACACGTTACACTTTGTCGATCTTACAGCTCGGCCGTACGACACTCTTGGTTTTCTTTGCTTGAGTTTTCCATTTTCGAAGCTTGGATCAACTGGCTTTGGCTTCGAACCGAGCATCGAATCGAGAATTTCGGAAGGGGGGACGAAACTCGGAAGAAAATGAAAATTTTTCTCGTTTCTTTCGAAACGAGTTTCATCGAGTTATTGTCGGCAAATCGATCGAAAGAGTCGAGTCGTCTTTTTGTGTCGCGTTGGACAGAACGATTGCGGCGACTCGATAAGAAATGTCAGGAAGCGAGATAAATAATTAATAGCGTCCCCGATACGCTTTCGTTGTTCAACAATTCCATCGATTCCTTCTTCTTTTTTTTTTTTTTTTTTCTCGAATCGTCCTTCCTCGCCGAACAACGACGCCAAAGTCAGTTCGAGTCGGTCTGAGTTATTGCTGCGATCGTTTTCTTTTTTTTTTTTTTTTTCTTTTCTTTTCTTTTCTTTTCTTTTTTTACGAGGATATCTATAACAAACGCCGACTGCCGTTCTCGAGTTCGATCGATCGAGACGTCGTCGCCACGTCGGTCACTTTTAGGTCAGCCAGAAGCTCCGCAGTATCTAATATCGTTTGATATATATTTTTTTCTTTTTTTTAAGATGCTTGAGCGATCCATGTGTAACTTTTTTTTCTTTTTCATCCGCAGTTCCAAAAGAAACGGACGACGAGAACTCGTCACGTTTAACTTTGCGTTTAACTCGATTCACCAGAACGTTCGAAACGAATAATCGTAAATTAATCACTGAGAGATCAAGGAAACGAGTTCCAGTTTCCAATTTCGTATTTCGCCAATTCTTAGATCGAAGCCAATCGAAATTGTTGTTGTCGATCGTGTACCAAACGCGTTTCGATCGATCTCGAGGATTCTATTCCTTTCCCTGGATCGGAGCAGTCGGCCGTTCCAATCGAGGATCGTTGCAAAATAATATGCATTCACAACCAATTTACTTGTTGCAAACATTCCGCCGGAGCCGTGATTACTCATGCATTCTCTCCGATGATAATTCTCTTACCTGTGCTTCGTGGTTCGAGATTCGATTGCCTCGGCCTGGGCATCGGATTTCGATCGAATCGTATCAGTTCTATCATGCAAAGTCGACTCCAACCAAAAAACTGAACCATTCGTCTAATAGTAGTAATAGTAGTTTTGCTAATCTCGATAATCTCGAACTTGATACTTGGATACTCGACGGATTGCTCAGAGATGGTTTACCCCAATTTCGTCACAGTACCTTTCGTTCGTATTTTTCCACGAAGATTGGAAATAATTATAACGATCGAGGCAAGGCAAGATCGTCATTTTTAACGCCATATTTTATTATTATCTCGCTGCTTTACTCTCGGATGATCACGATTATTCTTCGAAGATTCAATTTACAATAGAAACGATATATATATATCCCTTTGAGCGTCGCCAAATAGCCGCTCAATTCTCGCCCTGGTGTACGTCTTAACGAGCCTATGAAGTCAAGTTACCTCTCGATGAAACATTAGTTAGTTTATGAATAAAGCTTATTTGAACAAAGCTTAGTTTTTATAACGCAAACGTTAAATGTGAATATTTTTTTTACCGCGCGCTCCAATACCCGTCGTCCACAGCGACGCTCGTCCGCAAAGGGATATATATCGATCGAGATCGAGGTGGCCGAGAGATGAGAAAGTTTGGCCGGCCTTTTATCCGGCCTCGGGATTACTAAGAATACCCGAGGACGTTTGATAGCCGTCACAGATAATAAGCGAAACGTTTTATTACGACGTACACGCGATCCAAAGAGAATGCATCGTGGAAGCATCTTCGAATACGTTTCTCGTCCTATCTCGTCCCGCGATTAGATCTTTTATCTCTTCCGCCGAAACGAAATTTCTTACGTCCGATAAATTGTTGTACCTTGGTTAATTGTACAGTGGATACGATCTATGTGTATGTCGAGGGAAGGAAGAGATAATCGAAGCTTTGAAATGACGATTTTGGTTATTTTGGATATAAAAATATACGCGATCAACATATTTCGAGCTTCCACGAATTTTGTTTGATACTCGAACGTTTATTAATTATCGTTTACACGGATTTTGTATCGAGAATCTTCGAACGCAATCAGCCAAGAGCGAAGCGAGGAAAGAAGATAAAGGAAATATTTGGACAGATATATTGGATGGGTAAATATCTCGTAGCAATCCGTTCACTTTTTTTTTTTTTTTAAACAAGATACATTATAAGATACGTAATGTGGAAAGAAGACGAAGCGTTCAAGCGACAGAGAAACACACATGATCGTGTAGAAAAAAAAAAGATAAAAAGATAAATATGTAATATCCAGATATACAAGTATAAAAAAAAAAATAGACATGATACACAATAACAGGGTACATGAGTTCTCGGTTTATGTATTAAAAGCGTAAAATTATATATATATATATATATAAAATCTCTAAAAAAATATATATATATATATATATATAAAAAGAACAAGGTTTGTTCAAAGAACATCGAATGAAGGATTATAAATATATATACGGTATAATATACACACAAAAAGTTATCATATTATAGGCCGGGCTTGTACAAATTTATACATGTATATTATAGATGTATACAGCTTGCAACAGAAGCGTAATTAATAAAAAGGTACGAAAAAAAGCTCGACAACGTAAAAACAGGATCAACAGAGAGAATCATTAATGGAATCCAGAGAGAGAGAAAGAGAGAGAGAGAGAGAGAAGAGAGAGACAGAGAGAGAGAGGAGGAGAGAGAGAGAGAGAAGAACGACAAAGCT